AAGTACTGTCTCTACGGATCGCCCGATAAGTACTGTCTCTACGGATCGCCCGATAAGTACTGTCTCTACGGATCGCCCGATAAGTACTGTCTCTACGGATCGCCCGATAATTACTGTCTCTACAAAAGAAGACAGATGTATAAAAAAAGTTACAAATAAAACTTTGGGCAAACAATTGAGTGATCGAGTGTTGGGATCGTTGGAGAACTCTTTGGCCGACTTTTTTGCCACTGATTTCGTGCAGAAGACACTAATGGGCGCAGAAATGACTGAACAGATCAAACAAATTGCCCGCAAGTACTGCAAGAAAGACAAAGATTTATTCCTGAGTGAGTATCTAATCCCTGGTAAAACAGGGAATTAAGTTATCATGTTTTATACAATCATCTGAATGCTTAATAACCAAGATTATTAATTAATTAAATACAAAAATGCTTAATTTAACCAAGTTATTATTTTATATTACCATTAAGCTCGATTTGAACTACTGAAAAGCATACACAACGTGCTCACGGATGCTAATCATCGGACAATTGTTGACCAGTTTATAAAGAGTGTGGGACCACAAGCGGCCAAAATGTACGACAAGTTTGAGCAACAATTGGGTGGCATTGGCGAAGAGCTGCGCCTACAGCCGATGGACGAGCACTCTATTGACTATAAACTGCTCATTTACCGCGAAATGAAACGTGGTTCATTATTGAGACTCCTGGTCACCCTAGCCGTAAAGAAATGGAGTGACATACGGCTGGCTGAGTACCTGATTGGTCAGCCCCGGTACCGGCCAAACATAATGGCCACCAACTTATTGCATATGAACGTTGATCTAAAGCAAGTGATGACTGTCTGTAAGAGTATAATCGATGCAAATGGTGTCAATGTGTCGGCCGCTGAAGAGGCAGAACTGATCCAATTGGCCAAAGAGGTGTTCGCGATTAATAGTAAATTTTATCAACATGTTTAGTGGTGTTTTTTGCAATGCAATATTGTTTGTAATTCAATAAATGTTTATGATAAAAGTTTAAATTAATTGTTGGTAGATATTTTATAATTATTTTATTTTAATTATTAATTAAATGCAATATTTATAATACAGTAAATATATGTTGTATATATTTTATTTTTGCTACGAGATGTTTAATATTGACTGTATTTATATTGATAATAATTACTAATCTTTATAATTAGTAAATTAAAATTGAAAAATATTATTAATTAAATGCCCCCTTAAATGCGTTTTTGTTGGTCAAGTAATGACACTTAATTATGGTTTACCTTTAACTTTAACTTAGGTGATTAAACTTTACCTCATCAATGATTTCAAGCATTTCCCTAATTGTGGTTAACGCATAGCATCGCGTGTGATCCTTGTTTGTAATTTAAAAAACCCGAACGTTTAAATAAACACAAACTTAACATTTAAATAATAAAAATATACATTTTATTTGAAAAACAGAGATTATAATAATAAGCATAGTATAAACCAAGTACATCAGCTGAATATAAAAACATTTTTATACTTATTTGGTACACAATATTTTCCTATTTTTATTGTATATCTCGTGATTAAAAAAATATATATTACGTGCTGGTGTGGTTGACTTTATTTATTATAGTTGAAAAAATCATCTCACCCTCTATAACTCGCAATAATCTGGCTGGCCCTCTTCATCTGAGACCATGCACATTTTATCTTTAGGGCATTCCTTGCCATTACACATTTCACGTTTAATACGATGCAACAATGATGCGGCTAAATCTGGGATGTAATTAGCGCGTTTCAAACGTGTGACCAGTCCACCTGGTAATTGTTGACTCGGCACCACCATTATGGCCACCATCATTGTAACGGTCACAATCATAATCATGCTAGTTTTATTCATGAATATTTTTTACGCGGTCTATATGGATTGCTGGCAAATAAATGCATTTTAAGATTAGTATAAAAATATAGCAAGTTAAATTTCATATGACCCATGAAAAGCCATAACCAGCCAAACTTTTTTCATTGAGTTTAATCATAACTTTAGTATTGAATTCAACCATTGAATCAACCATTATAAAGTGACTAGCACCAAATATGTAAAGTTCAATGAAAAAAGTTAAGCTGGTTATGGCTTTTCATGGGTCATATATGATTATACTTATGTAATTTTAAATGGAAATTTTGTGTATTATATTTGATAAACTTCAACACATATGCTTTATATTAATTAATATTTCATAATTAAACTGGATTTTAGTAATATTTGACTTATAATTTACACGTTTAATCAGTTTTCATTTATACGTATATGTTACTTTCATCTAGCGCTTAAATAGCATTTAAAAGTGTTTAATATAAATCGCATTTTTACAAAAATTAAACTTTAAATACATTCACTAATACAGAATATTATTGAATGTAAAGTTGCATAGTAATATTTTTAAAATAAAAATAATTAATTTAATGGTAAAAATATTTTTACTAGTTTCAAAATATTTATGTTTGTTTGTTAATCACTATTATTTTTAAATAGTAAATATTTAAATGTTTAAATAAAGGTTCTAAATCGTTACTAAACATGCTATTATAATTTTAACTTTTATAAATTAATCATGTAAATTAATTAGTTATGATTACTCTAACCGTACAGAGGATATAGATTAATTAAATCGTCTAAATTTTGACAAATGATATTAATTTAACAATGCTTTAAAAATTAAATTTTGAAAATACAATTTTTAAACGCAATATGTAAATACTATCTATTCTTTGAGCACTACCAGATTTGTGGTTAACTTATAGCATTGCTGCATGATCATTGTTTTTTTAAATTATTTTAAATTAAGTTATTTTAAAGTTAAGTTAAATTAATTTATTTTAAACTAAAGGGTTAGCTA